CTGAGTTGTGATCTCTTTAGTGGGCTGCTAATTACAGTTTGGAATTTTGTACCTGCATCATGCTTATGCCTTCAGTGCTTTGTAAGATGAACAAACTGTGCACCTGGAAGAGGCAGTTCAAGCTGTCATTCCACTACCTAGAGACTGAGTCAGGAAGACTGAGAGTTCAAGGCTAAATGGGCAAAACTTATCTAAACTCCTGGAGGACTGCTTCTATACATAGGGAATAAGCAGAATAGTTGTCTGCCATCTAGAAATCTAAAACTTAAACTATATAGATCTCATTAAAATTTATTAATTATATAAAATAAAGGGTTTCTTAGGACATGTGGATACAAGTAAATATAATTTACTGATCGTCTTTATTCATTATTATTATATCCCATTCCCATTTCTCTGTTACCCTTCAGTTCCTCCTAATGCTCCTACTTTGATTTATTGTCTTTATTGTTTCCTTTTCTTCTAATTTTTAGTAATATGTTTACATGTGTTTATATATTCAATCTGACATTCCATTTATTACTGTTCACATGCATGTATTTTAGAGCTGACCTCTTGGTATTAGATATCCAATTATGGGCTCAACCCTAGAAGATATTTATTTTCTCTATCACCAGTCAACAATTGGCTGGGATCATGTAAATCTTTTCCCTGTCCATATTGGCATGTTCTCTGTGGTAGGGGTTGGGCTATTCATGCTTAGGTTATGCTATTTTTGAGATTGCTGAAAGTACCCTCCCTGTCTTGAGTCTCTGTATTTTACAATCTTTAGTTCTCTTCTGAGCTGTTCCCAGAACATTAGGTGTAGGAGTTAGTTTGTATTTTGGAATTTTGACTAAAACATTAGAGTTTATCATCCCTTTGTCACATGAAGCTCCAGGTTATGGCTACAGGTGAACCATGGGATGGTCCTGGAGATAATTCTCTTACCAATTTTGATGTCTTTAGAGTTATATCTCTTTCAATCTCCTTACATTTCATTGCAGTGGCTTTTGGAATCCTTTGCTTACTTCTAATGACGGCAATTGCAGTGTGGCTGACATACAGTGAGTAATTCACATACATTGTTTTCCCAGGCAATGCCAATAGACACTAATTGTGCCACAGAGATCATACTGTGTCCATTATTTTGTCTGTCATCAGGTGACATCCCAGGTGGCCCAGAATTCGCACTTTTTTTTGTTTTGTTTTTTGCCCCTGGACTCCTGAACCCTTGGACATTACAATGACTCTGGGGCTGCTTGTCTTACTCATAAATAATATCCCTGTGATAAAATGTGTATTGCTGATATTCTGCTTTCTGCTTGGGTGATTATGAATCTTACATAGACAGCCTATGAAAAGTAGCAGTCCAAAATAAATTATGTTGTTTTATGGATTTCTTTCAAAATTTTATATCAAGGACATGGTTAAGTGAAAAGATGGAATCTGTGCACAGAATTTAGAAGAACTTCAGCTTTACCTTTTGTTTGATGTCCTCACATCCTTAGAGAAAACCACTGATGGGCTAAGCTCCAACAAAGCTGCAAATCTGCATGATTGTCTCTTTTCCTGTGGGTACTCCATCTGCTCTAATGATAACTGCGGTGTTACTTCATGTTTCTTAGTTCAAATTTCCAAACTGTTTTGTTTCTCTGACAATTTTACTTAAATATTTATTTGTAAGTTTTTTGCTCCAAAAAAAAATTGAAGTAATCAGAACAAAAGGTGCTTGCATCATAATATTTCTTAGCTATTTTATCTACTTTACACTGAAGCTGCCAATTGTGATAAGTTCATGTTTCCATTCTTATAGTGAGTTAAATGAAGAGTTGTTTTATGTGCAAAAATAGCAATTAAAGTAATGATATGTATTTCCTGTCAACTTGATGATTTTTTTTAACCATAAATTTCAATATTTACTCATTGTAAGCATTTTTTTATATTATACCTACTACTAAGTTTAGTTCTTCAGTATAGCAAAGGAAAACATGAACTGCAAAAAAACTCTAAACAACCTCAATCTAATGTATCAAACCATGGAAAATGACAGATACTTAAAGAAAAAAATGCTGAGAAATTAACCTAGAGAGTGTGGTGACCTCAAACATCAAAAGGAACTGGAGTCCCTCAACAGAGAATGAAACAAATGCTGTAGGGAAGATAAGTTTTGTTTGTTTGTTTGTTTTTTGATTGCATAAGGCACACAGGCAATGAGGGGATCTTGAAAAAGGAAAAGCATTTTTCTGTAATGTTTTTTTCTCCAGAAGCTTTGAAGTCCATTTAGCAACTTATGAGGTTGATGATCTGTGGCTTAATAGTTGGGCTTTCTTATTTCATGCAGGGGTCTGAAATCTTGGAAACTCCTGTTTGGATTAGGACAATCTTACAGTTTCTAGAACCCAGTGGCTATTCTTTCTTCTACTGCTTCCAGGAGATAGATTCACAAGTTAGCACCCCTGAAAATTAACGCTTTGGCTTATGAGCAAATGCAAGTCTCCAACTTTGTTCTTGAAGAACATGGAATTTTACAGTAGGAATATATTTACCTAATATTTATTATGAACTAGAATAAGGTATTTGAATTATTACAGTAAAAATAGAAGTGTGTGTGTGTTTCCTCATTAGTTGGTATCAAATATGTTGCCAGTTTGTGACCGATCTGTACTTCCCGCAAGCACGTGGGAACTATATAATGGTGCCCACACTCCTGTACTTCTGCTAGGGATCCCATTAGTAATAGGAGAAGAACTAAAATGTTATGTGTTGTGAGAAACCTTCCTTACCTTTCATTATGACTGGTTTTCTTTAATTAACTGCTTGTCAATTACTTTTAACATTCGTTCAGGTTTTAATGTTTACCAAGAGCTTTTGCATATGATCTCTACTCACAATAAGAGTGCAGATTCTCATTGTACAAGGAGGGTTGGGCTTACTCCTTGAAATCCAGAAGTGAGACTGCCTGAAATGAGCAGTTGGATAACAATAGAGAAACCAACTGACTTCTGGGCCCATTTGCAAAGGGAAATAATATAAAAACCACAAAATAAGTGGTTTTTACCAGTTGGCCCCATGGTGATTTTCACTGAATCTTCCCATAATATTAGCTTCATAATATTCATATCTTTCAAAAAATGATATCTATCTTTGGAAATGAGGATTTAAAAGAAATCAAGCAGTCAAGGTCCTGACATTGTCTGTTTACATTTATTATGAACGAAATGTATCAAGATACATAGAATGTATTTTTATAAAAAAATGATTGCAGAATCAGCTTGAAACCTTTATCATTTAGAACATGATGCATCACTTAAAAAATTTATTTACATGTTTGAACATTTACAGCATAAAATGTACTTCCATATTATGTAATTATATACTTTTTTATTTGTTAGAGAACACATAGTTAAATTCAAATTCATATGCCAAAATATATTTAGTAATTTTAGTAGTCATCATTCTATTTGGATATCATATGTAAAGTACATTATAATACTTCCAAATATCTTCCCCTCTGTGTGGAAGGAGTCTACTTGTTTGTTTTCTGGCTGTTCAGCTCCAAAATAACAACACAGGAACTATATTATTTTAATCACTGCGTGCCCTAATAGGTCTAGCTTCCTATTGGCTATCTCATGCATATTAATTTAACCCATTTCTAGTAATCTGTATATTGACATGTGGCTGTGGCTTACCAGGTAAAGTTCTGACTGGCTTCTGTTTCTGCCTGGGATACATGGCTTCTCTCAAATCTGCCTCCCTTTTCCCAGCAATCAGTTTAGTTTTCCCCTCTTATCTACACTACCAGTCCAAACCAGTTTCATATTTACCACTGGAATTCACAGCATACAGAGGGGAATCCCACAACACCTCTCCTCATCAAGTTCTGCCACTTCCAAGTCTGAACTAAAGAATGGCTTCCCCTCTGGAGCATGGAGTTTAATGCACAGCTCTTCACACAGAATTTTTCAACTTCTAAAAAAATTTTTTTTTACGTCCTGTCTGTTATTTCCCCTCCCCCCTCCCGGCCACTCCCTACTCTTTTCTAACCCCAACCCCCATTTATGCCTACTCCTTTCCTTTTCAGAAAAGAGTCTGCATCCCATGAATATTAACAAAAAATGGACATATCAAGTTTCAGTAAGACCATTTACCCCTGTATTAAGGATGGAAAGTGTGACCCAACATGAGGGATAGCGTCCCAAATGCTAACAAAAGAGTAAGAGACAGCCATTGATGCCACAGTAAGGTGTTTCACAAAAAGACCAAGCTACACAAATGCCACATAAGAAATGTCCAGTAATTATCATGCGGGCTTCCTGATTGTCTATTCAGGCACTGTGAGCTCTCATGAGTCAAGAGTAGTTGATTTTGTTACTTCTCTTCTGAAGTCCTTGATCCCTTTGATTCCTGCCTTTCTTCAGCAGGAGCTTAATCTTAAGTTCTGCTGAGGGTCTCTGTCTCTACTTACATCAGTTGCTGGATGAAATTTCTCTGAAGACAATTAACTAGGAATCATTTTGAGTTTAGTAGAATATTAATAGGCATCATTACATTTTTTTTGTTCTCTAGTTGTCTGGTTCTATCCTAGGTCTCTGGGATCCTGGTGCTCCAGCAATTAGGTCCTGGTAGTGTCAGGGGTAGGCTTATTCTTATTTTAGGGTAGAACAGTTATAGGTTGGTTATGCCCCCAATCTCTAGGCTACCATTATCCATGCCCGCCTCATGGGCAGAACTGACTATAGTCAAAGGTTATGTGGTTGAGTTGCCATCTCAATTCCTTCACTGGCAATTTTAGCAGATCACAGGACTAGGTCATTCCAGCATACATATCTGCCATTGCCAAGAGTCTTAGCTGGGGTCATCCATGTAGATTAATAGAAAATTCCCTTGTGCCAGGTCTCTACCTGAGCCAGGAATCCAACCACCCTCATCATTCTTCTCTTTTAGAACATCTTCTTCCTTCTCTACCTCTCCTCAGTCCACTTATAAAATCTCTTCTTTTTCTCCCTTCCCAGAGAGATCCAGGCATCTCCCCATGAACCTGCCTTGTTACCTAGTCTATCTGTATCTGTGGACTATAATGTAGTTGCCCTATTTACAGTTAATGTTAATTTATAAGTGCATATCACACACTATGCTAGTCTTTCCAGGTCTGGGTTACCTCACACAAGATGTTTTAATGATGGTGTTCTTTTATTTTTTGCTCAGTCTATATTGAAGGCATGATTATATAAAAAGACTAGATGTGTACAGAGATGTAAAAACTTCAGCGCTGTTGGATTCCTTCAGATCTTTGTTGGAAATAACTCCCAGGTGGTACTAAAATATAACTACACACAAGAATGTTATATTTTTCATCAGTGCTGTGAGAATTGTGCCATATCTTTATGTTTCTTAATTCACATTTTCTGTGTGTTAAAGGTTGACTGAGTTCATGAGTTTGATATTTATTTGTAAGTTTTATGCAGAGAAAAAATTGAAGGGATTGGAAGGTAATAAGCTTCAACCATAACTTAATTCTGCTTTATCATTTACTTTATACTGAAGTTTATGGTAGAAAATGATGTTTGCATCTTTTCAGTGAGTCAATTGAGAAGTTATTTTTTAAAATGGCAAAATAGCAAATGAAGTAATGGTATATGTTAACAACATGAGACCTTTTCTTATATCTTTAATTTAAATATTTAGAATTAATAACCATTTTCAGTTATATCTTTTTTAATTTTAGTTTTTCAAGATAAACATGAGCTAATGAAATGTCAAAACAACCTTGATCAAAGCACTGTAAAAAATATCAGCGCCTCAGATAAAATATTGACAAGTAAGTCATCAGATTATGAAGGCTACAAAAATCAGGAGGAACAGAACAGATGCTGTGGAAAAATTAACACTGTTTTAGATTATGGAAAGTACACAGGTAAGGAGGAGATCTTGAATAAAGAATTGCATTTTTATGTATTGATTCTTCTCTAAAGGACTTGAAGTCAAGTTATCAGGTTACAGTCCTGATAATCTGTTGGTTAATGGTTGGGTTTCCATATATCCTGTAGGGGCAGAACCCCAGAAATCCCTGTTTGAATTAGGAACATCTTACAGTTTCTAAACTCAGTGACTGTTCTGTCTCCTACTGCTCCAAGGAAAGGCAGCTCAAACCAGCATTGCTGAGAATTCAAGTTGTTTTCATCAGTGAGCAAATCTAGGTCCCGCTTTTTTTGTTAACAGAATGTGGGAGTTCCCAGTAAAAGAGTGTTTTCCAAATTCCTAGGCTGATATAAACTTAGAACATTTACGTAGACACAATAATAAAAATAATTGTTTGTATATTTGTTTTCCTTCTACTTTGGTATCAGAAAGTTGGTCTCTTTGTGACCAGCATGTCCTCCGTACAGTGCACACGAGAGCTTCACCATGGTGCTCACACAGCTGTCTGTCTATCAGTGACACAGAGATGAACATATCTCATGTTAAAAGGAGCCTTCCCTTGCATCATGACTGTTAACTATAATTGGTACAGTTTACCATTAATTATGAAGTATTTTTTCAGACTTTAGAGTTCACAAAGAACTCGTGCATATGATCTCATTTGTTTGATAGCAGGAGTTGACAATCTTTACTAGTTAAAAACTAATATTACCTTTAAAACTGGTAAATTTAAAATATAAATAAATAAGTAAATAAAGCTTCAAAAATAATCCTTGAGGCATTCCAAACTCATCAAAAATGTTTTGCATTGTTGTATTAGAATAAAATAAATATCAACTCTAAGTGGTAGCACAATTCTCCAATGCTTGTGATTAGAACACAGAGGAAGGACAATTGCAAATTTGAGGACAGTCTTGGTGTCCAGTAAATTCCAAGAGAGCCTGACCAACACAGTGATGTTAACTCTGTACAGAAAAACAGGGGTTGGACATAAATGTTTATTAATAGAGAGAGGGTATCCTCACCACCAGAGTAAACAAATAAATGTAGCTAAGAAACCACACGTTTTAATGTATTCAAATTTGACACTATCAGGCTGTGAATGTACCATTGAAGGCAGGAGAACATAAAATCGCCATCAAAAGCTTCCTTATATGTCTCATTTCTATTAAGGTAAAAGCATCTAACATAGACCACAGTACAGCTGTACATGCATAATAGATGTGGGCAACTGATATTAAGTGATCTGCAGTCATGAG